CCCATGAACAATCCGAGAACATTTATTCTTAATCCATCGGAATCCATTCTTAAAACTCGATTTAATTTTTCCTTCAACAGTATAAGATTTATACCTCGCGATTCTCTTCTTCCTCCTCATTTCCGCATCCGATAAACCCCAAGACGGTTTCGCCGATGACGCGTTGCTCCTACGCGCCGCCATATCTCCCGGCGGAGGCGGAAGTGAAGGAGGAAAATCCTGAGTCCCGTAGATCTGCTTACTTCCTCCCAAACCTCCGTAACCTTTACCGCTCACGATTTCCGTTCTCCGATCACCTGTGTAAGTTCTCTGACCCGACCCGTATCCAAACCCATCCATTACGCCGGAGCTCCGTTTAATTTGAGAAACCAAAAAAAAAATGGCCAAATTTGAGAAGGAGAGAAACCCAACGCTTATTTGGTCTTTTTTTTTTCTTATAAAACAAAGTTTTTTTTTTTTAAACTAATTAACATCAAATTAAGTTTTTTTTTAATTAGTAGTTGTATAATTAAAATACATTTAATAATAATAAAAGGAAATGACAGGTTACTAGCTTAGGATACCTGGAAAAAAAAAGGCTTGAACCACCTATCAGACGAAATCTACTGTCACATACTTTCTGGATTCACTGATTTTTTTATATATATTTTTTGTTTTTTGGTAATTACAACTTATTCAACAGAAATTGACAGCTGTTAGTTTGCAAAACACTAAAGTTTAACATGCACATATAGAAAATGAACTTAACCTTTTCACAAGGAACATAAATTTATTGTTAATACCAAAATTTAGAGATCCATTTTTTAACTAATCAAGTCATTAAGCAATCAATATAATGGGCCTTTTCAAAATCAGATACGGGCCAGCTTTTAAAAGGCCCATAACAAGTGGACATTACGGAATCACAGAAATGACGTGAGAGGAGTTGGTGGTAGTTAGTTGGTCACTCTTTGTACTTTAAAAATAAACGTAAACACAAGAAAGTAGCATGAAACATTCATATTTTCTTGGTCCGTTATTTCTTATCAGTCTCCCTCAATGCATTTCAAGTCTCACGTTATCAAATTATTAACAATAAAATTATCTGACTGGTAGTATATATACTTTTATAATTAAGTAGTGATTAAAACGAGGTCCAAAACACCTATGATCCAACGGTCAGGATTTGATTGTTGCAATAAATCATCTGATTGCATTTTATGAATTTATTATTTCCCCCAAACGGCCAACGCAACAGTAGTTGAAATTAACGTGCATGCTTCATAAATTGGAGTCTTGACTTTCCATTATGGATATGATCATTATTTTGTAGTTGTCTGATGAGAAATTCGTAGTTTAATAATTTAATGTTTTCCTTCATTAAATATTTCGGAATAAACAATACTAAGATAATTAAATCGAATATTACGATCCGTGCTCTTTATAAGCAACCCAAAAGTCTCCTTCTCTCTCGCTAAAATTATCCACTAGTCG